GTCAACATCAGTAAGTCAAAGAGACTAATAATGTATATTTTGCCATGGTAGCTCAAGTCTTTTTGGCGGGTGTTTGAATTGTGTTTCTTCGAGACAAGTTGCCCTACTAAGACTAAAGAATCCAGTCTACCCTATGATTTTAATTTGCGGTAAGATAGAAGGATAATGCTTTTCTAAAAGTTAACCTAACAAACTGGGCCAGAAGTTTTAAAACTCTACATTAAGTCACTAATTTTGAAATCGACGACACTGAAACCATCTGCCCGTACTTAATCTACACACAAAACACACACACACACACACACACACACACACACACACACACACACACACACACATATATATATATATATATATATATTCATGAATTATTCATACAAAAAACAAATACAAAGGTTAATGATTTAATTGGCGAGAAATCCATCGTCGCGAACAATTCAAATAATATACAAAAACCCCGAACCTGTTTATGCATGAAAAGATCCTTGTTTCTATAAATTTCTGTTGCATGAGTTCTTATTTTTACAAGCTTTCGTTTGTTCATACAGACATCCTCAGGTATGGAATAGATGTTGTTCTTGTTTTTACTCTCAGTAATAAGAGGACAACGAAAATATATGTATTGTTGTAATCCGAAAAATGCTATTAGAAATGAGTTATTGTTTTTGGAGCGTGCTGACGCAACGCTGAGTTTGAATTTAAATTTTACAATTGTGCGTTCTTATACAAATATGGTGATAAGCGAATTCTTTTTTACTGGTAAATTTTCTGTCAAAGTGGCATGAACTTTATTGTTCAATAATTGCATAACTGAGAGCCGAGTTCGAATTTTAACAATAAAAATAGTTCGATTTCAGTAATACGAAATCTAAAAAGAAATAATAGCGCTTTAAAGAAAATATTGTATATATACCATAAAGCATTTCTCTAGTCATCATCATCATTATCATTATCATCATTATCAGTCCGTTGTCTGTTTCAAATCGTCGGGGTTGAGCTAAGAGCAGAAGAAACAGAGAACCTCCCCCAGGATGCTCTGTTGGTGGTGTTCCATCATTGCTATGTCCGTCCATTATTTGATGTCGTATGACCAGTTCTTGCGTTGCTGTACACGCTTGCGTCCGCCTTCAGTTGTGCTTTGCATGATGATCTTGCAGAATCTGTTATGCTGTGTGACGTGACCAAACCATGCCATCTTCTGACGATTAATAGTGGCGAGGCGAGATTCCTGTCGGGTCCCGAGGCTTTTGACCTTTTGCTCTTTTTGAAGTCTTTGTTTTTGCGGAGGAGCTTTTTGAAGCCTTTTTTCTCGAACGCCTGGATTTTTTGCCTGCCTCAACCAGCAGTGTCCAAATGTCACACACGTAGAGGAGCATAGATACAATCAGTGATTTCTAGAACTTGAAATTGGTTTGGAAGCTGATGTTGCTTCTGAGGAACACCGGTCGAGAAACACTCGTCTAATGGGTCAGTGCTACGTTATTTTGGAGAGTTTCTTCGACAAAGATTGGAATAAATTCCAATTAACACTTGCTTTGTGATCGACTCGTACTCCAGCACATTGAGCGCTTCGACATGGTGCAATAGCAAGCTTGTCTCGCTAGATAAATTACAACTGATTAATGAGTTCGATTTATCACCCTTGAAATAGTCTCAGGAAACCCCTGCATGAAAAGTTTTGCAGCTCATTGTTACTGCCCGCCATAAGGTCAACACGAATCCATCACGTACAGATCCTGTTCACTAATGAGTGGAGGCGGTTTCACACTGATGCCATATAGACATCGCTAAATATATTCCCTATAATTATTATAATTTTAAATAATATAAGAGGTTTAAGTCTTTATTATAATAACCAAGGTTTTCCAACAATTTGCCGTACGTCTATAGTAAAATTACGAATATAAAATTAAACAAAAATTACACAAAAATGCTTTTTGTCACTATTTCTCGGGGAAATCCTAGCAACTTCTAGTGAAGCCCTAGGGTTCTGAGGAACACCGGTCGAGAAACACTCGTCTAATGGGTCAGTGCTACGTTATTTTGGAGAGTTTGTTCGACAAAGATTGGAATAAATTTCAATTAACACTTGCTTTGGGATCGACTTGTACTTCAGCACAATGAGCGCTTCGACATGTTGCAATAGCAAGCTTGTCTCGCTAGATAAATTACGACTGATTAGCGAGTTCGATTCATACTGGGCGCTCCATACTTGTGCCACATCTAAGCTATAATTAGTAGATTACTCCGTCACATAAGGTAATAATCACCTTTTGCTTCCCTACAAGAAATTATGAAAGTGAATATTAATATCCCTGTAGAGTGTACTTAAATTTATGGGTGGAAATAAAAATAAATTGCAATAATAAATTTGCATATATTTAGCCTTTTTAAATTAACATAATACCTTTAGAACTATGTATATACAATAATTCATATATATATATATATATATATATATATATATATATATATATATATATATATAAATTAAAAAAAAAAATTTATAACATAAATATGTTATAAAATCACAACAAAATAGCCATTTTGTTTCAACACACCTGGTGTCTTATCAAGTGATGATGTTGAATGCCTAGTAGTTATTGGAATTCATTCCGTATATACCAATTATATACTTATTATATATATATATATATATATATATATATATATATATATATATATATATATATATATATATATATATATCTGTTAAGAAAATTAATGACAAACTGGAAAATTTTTTTTCGGGTCACGCGTTTGGTTCTTTAGGATATCATCAGACTAAAGTGATGTTTATGTCGATGAAATTTGAAATGCCCACGATGGAGAGGGACGTTTAAAGATTTTAAACTATAAAGTATCAATTTTATTTTTATAATATGCGTTTGGGTATATAGACTAGTCAATTTCATTTAGTTTCTTCTTTTCATTTATGTTTTTATCACTTTTGTTGTTAAGTATTTCCAAGAAAGTTGAAGTATACTATATATGATGAGTGATAGAGCAATTACGAAAGTTTGAGTTGACCTTCGATAAGTTGTGAATGTTTTTTATTTCTATTTTTATTATAATTATCGCTCTAGTCTTATAATGAGCACTTTATTGGCAGTAAATTCTGTTTTATTTGATATACGTTAAAGTATATAATTTTGCGTATTTTATTTACTATTATTATAATTTAGCATTTTTATTTTATTTTATTTTAATCCCTCTCTCACTCTCTCTCTCTATATATATATATATATATATATATATATATATATATATATATATATATATATATATATATATTTGTAATTTACTATACTAACGAGCAGAATATTTCTCCTGATGATGGCCAAACTAGTCAAGGAATCTAATTGAAATAAAGCAAAAACATTACTATACAACCCAGTGTGAGGAAAAATATACTGAGAAACAAAACAAAAATATGCAATTATGCTGTTTTAATGTTAATATAATGTCAACGTCGGACGTTTCGGTCTAATATATTTTTCCTCATACTGTCGGATCTATATCCATATATTTGCTTACAACCCAATGTGTCTGAAAATTTAAATTTTTTAATTTCTCAATATTTTTTTGTTCAATATATATATATGTGTGTGTGCGTGTATGTGTGTGTGTGTGTGTGTGTGTGTGTGTGTGAGTATTAAGATTTGGTTAAAGACCAGCAGAATTTCTTTATTTAAGTTTTCATTATTCATTTTATCGCTCAGAACACATTGGAAAATTTATGTTCAAACTCCTGAAAACCAGTAATGTGGCCAGAAACGAGGGAAAAAAAAAAAACTATTTAATTAACATAATCATAAGTGAATGTTCCTGTAAAAATATGCAGCAAAAATAATGACCATAATAAAAAAATTCTCTGTAAAATTAGTGCTGATATGTAGTAACTTCCTTGTAATTGTAAGATGAAAAGCAACTGCCCCTATAAATAGAAATTGCTTGATTAGTAATATAGTTTACAAGGGTAAAATAGAAGTGGTGTGGAAGCATAGTAAGGTCTAAGGAGAAAAACAATTGGAAAATAAGGTTTTATAACCTCAAATTAAGTTTAAGTATTAGGAGATATAGGAATACTTCCGTGTTATCAATTTATTACTGCAAGACTAAAGAGAAATAAATGAAATTGCCTGGAAAATTTTAAAAGGAGAAAACCATAAAGACATATTAAGGACAAATGTAAGATTCGTTTTGTGGAAAATTTTGCAATTTTGAAGCTGAATATGATGAAAGATTATTAAATAAGCGATTGGAGTTTGAGAGTAAATATGAACATGTAAATAAATATCAATAAATATTTATTGTGTCATCTTCCACCAGAGTGAGGTATGCTACCACAACGATTTTTTTTTGTAAGATTGGCCGGACTACGTTAGTTCATCTAGAGTTTTTTCTTTGCTGATATTTTATATCCGCCCCTACTGCGTGACAATCTATTTTTACATGGGGTTGTATATTTCTTCAGCGGGAATCTCAGTGTAACGATTATAGGACGCTCTCTTTAGACGGATTATTGGTTGTTGATATTGCTTGTTATATATATGTGTGTATATATATATATATATATATATATATATATATATATATATATATATATATATATATATATATATATATATATATATATATATATATATATATAAAACACACACACATATATATGTATATGTGTGTGTGTATGTGAGTGTGTGTGTATGTGAATGTGTGTGATAAAATATAATTTTAAGGTATGCTATATTTATGAGTTAAAGTGCTTTTTATCGGATAGAGCGTATGTAAAGATATAAGTGAACATTGAGGCTAAATGTAATCGTCAGGTCATATATATATATATATATATATATATATATATATATATATATATATATTTGTATGTGTGTGTATATAGCCCAGAAACTGTCCAAAATAGAAAAGGGAAGAGAGCTTGTTTTGCTTGCCTTGAAAATCGCCATTCCAAAGCGTATAAATCTCAAAGAACTTTGGCCCAGATGGGAAATAGTTCCATCTATCTATCTATCTATCTATCTATCTATCTATCTATCTCAGTCATTTCATTTCATTTCATGTCTATCTATCTATCTATCTATCTATCTATCTATCTATCTATCTATCTATCTATTTCATTTTCTTTCTTTCTATCTATCTACGTTTACACATGGCAAAAGCATTCTGTACCTATAAGATTGAACAATATCTGACATATATATATATATATATATATATATATATATATATATATATATATATAGATAGATAGATAGATAGATATAGATATAGATATATAGATATGTGTAGAAAAATATTTCTATACAAACATACAGATCAGTATGTATATGAGTAGATAGATAATGCATATAAAATATAAAATCTGGGTTTCGATTAATAAGTAAACCCAGATACAAGTTTATTGATGAACGGCTCCGAACATTCTGACACATGTTCATATATACACGCATATATCGTCATCTTTGTACTGAGGCAAAAAGAAGAGAATGTAAACGAAGGCAATATCTAAGAATACCTAAAACCAAATAAATATATTGATACTTCGGATAGCTATAGACATTTTCCAGAATAGTCAAGATATATTTGGATACACATAATAAGTATGAAATGCACAAATAGTTGATAGTTTCATACGTTCACGTTCAATTCAGTCTTCTCAGATTTAAGAAGATATAATAGCGAGAGAAACTGAAAACAGTACAAAGACTGTATTTTGTGCGGTCTACTAACCATTATAATGTTGTAAATACGGAAACACTACCTCATGGCAAAACAAGCGTTACCTGATTGGAAAACACTATATACGTATGAAGTGGCATAGCGCCTTAAAACTAGGCTTATGAAATGGCTTTAGACCTGAATTATGGATTAGATTTCCACGCGGAAGATTATTTATCGAAAAACATCAAGAGGGAAAAAAAAGAAAAAAAGATAGAAAACATGGAAAAAGAGTGGTTCTTGTCTCGCTGTTTTCCCAATTTTCCCTCCATTCCGAATGTCTCTTTTACAGCTTTATTCGTTAAAGAATTCCATTCCTGTTTTTACGCAGAGTTACAGCGTCTGTGTAAACTGGTCAGCGAGCATCGCCTGTTGGTGTATCTCATTGGTGGCCGTCAAATTGAAAATCTCTCAGACAATTATTTAGAATGACTGCATGAAGAATACGACTTAATTACGGAATAGATAGGATTTTAGTAGAAAGAGCTTCGGGCTGGAGTGAGGAAGAAAATACTCCATCCTTCCGGTTATAATTACAAATGTATTTTGGGATATATAGCCTGAAAAGGTGTGTTATGAGAGTGGCGCTCTTTGTTGTCAAGCGACTAAGAAATAAATTTGTAACTTGAATTTATTGTCACGATAACTTCTGCGAGGCATTAAACCGCCATTTATATACTGCAACAACAACAATACAACGACAACAACACCAATAATAATAATAATAATAATAATAATAATAATAATAATAATAATAATTAGTTTTAACCCGTGAAAATTTCGCGAATTTCATATTTTAATATTCTGATGAATCTTAAGTTAATGATTGAGTCAGCTCATGGCGAGTTCTTCGATAATAAAGTATTCGTAGAAATTCCCATATCGCTTCGTTAAATATTTCAGCTTAACAACTTTGACAAAATATTGCAAATTAATATGAATGCTAATCGTCATTTTGAGAAGTGGGTACAAATGAAAATATCTGAAATTAACAACTTTTTTCCATTTCACAGTAATAGCCGTTAAGCACATCTATATTCCCTTTTTTTCTTTTTCTCACTGAAACCAAGAAGTGTATTTTTCCCTCTTTCCACATGATCAATGATCATGCCCATTTGTGCTTCTTCAAGACCCACAGAGCCAACCTGTGTTTTAAATTGCAGCTATGCTGAGCGGGCTTTTGTTACAGTTTCTGGTAGAGAGCGCACAATATAGCGTGATGCAGTAGTTGAGCAAAACTTCGATTTCAATGACTTGCGACTTGGTGCTAGAACGACTATCGACGGCTTCCGAACAGTCTCATCAACCAATATTCAATCACACGGCTTAGATCGAACCATAGTACGCTTGTCAGGCACTTACCACGGATCGTTTCCCCTAGCCGATATTAGTAAGAAATCACTTTGAAAGATCGATCATGTTCAGATTCGAACCCGGTTTAATTGTTCGAACGCAAACGTTGCAACCACTCGACCACTAGGTTAAGAATGATTACCTCAACTACCAGTACTACCACAGCTACAACAACAGTGACAACAAGAACAATAATCATAAGATATACGATTTGAGTATTTGGATGTGGTGTAATGGTTCTCAAGCTAGTATTGCTAGATCAATTACGACTAAGTAATGAGTTCGATCCTCACTAAGTGCTCCACTCATTCGGCCTTGTGTCACATCTAAGCTACACTTAGAAAATCATTAGGGCATCTCGACGTGGTGTAATGGTTAGCAGGCTTGTCTCGCTAGATCTATTACGACTGAGTAATGAGTTCGATATTCACTGGGCGCTCCACTCATTCGGCCTTAGAAAATCACCATAAGACATACAATTTTTAAAAATTGTGCGTTCATGATTTCTTCGATCATCATAAGATTATATAAAATACTGTTAAGGAATATTAACACCGACATAACTTTTGGTCAGCCAGGCTAAAGATAAAAACGTTGGATATTTTGAGAAGACTTTCTGCCCGACATTTCCAGCGACAGGTGCCAGTCATCTAACGTGAATATGCAAAGTCAATAAAATAATAATAATAATAATAATATATTTCCTTATGCTATAACAGGCATGGCTCGTATGGTTTCTAATATTAACTGATTGGTGGTATTAAACTCTACATGTTTTACCTTAAGATGAAATAAAGTAAATATCCCGTTCAGTACCACAGTTTGCTTGCCACTTGCTAGACATGTCAGGTATATCACCTTGGAGCTGTTCACGAGCAGGAGTAGTGAGCACGCATCATGGTTGACCTGAAGTTGTTTCTAATTTGGACTCACCAGCAAGATTCGTCTTTGCTTTTATCAAAACCTTTCAGCGTCTGGCAGATATTTGGCTGTGATGCATGTGCTTGGTATAAACTTATCGTCCTGCGTTGTATACTTTACTATAAATTACTGCCAAACTTGAAGAGTGCAATGGTCGATGATATGATTCGACTGTGGCGTAAACACTGTATAGCCGTGAATCTCGGTTTTCAACAAGGCATTGTGCAAGTTGGTTAAGGTAAAATAATGGTGTGAGTTTGTGGCACATATTGGATCTGCTGATCCACCAAAAAAACGTCATTGACCAGTACGCTGCATTCTTTTGTGACCATTCACACTCATTCATAGACTTTGTGTTACCCAGCAGCCATGTGTTATTCAAACTGGATAATGTACTGTGTCATCTGAACTAAGTTTCTCAGAATTGGTTTCAGAAGCATTCCGGAGACTCCCAACAAATGCCCCCATATTTGCCTGGTATTAGTTCAATCATTTCGCAAGCATCTAAAAATGCCAGGGAAATGTGTCGTGATGGCTTGGTCCCAAATTTCTACAAATGTATTCTGATCACTTTTGGTATTGATGCTACATCGAGTTGCTGAACTTCGTTAGGCTAGATGGGATCCTACACGATACTAAACATATATTCACCGAGTTTTGGCACGTCAGTGTATATAGAGTGATATACACAATTCAGTTTTATAGATAAATTCTTGATGTTTATTATAGCAACATAAATGTCGTACATCTGACAGTGGTTTAGTAAGGTTAACGGCGCCATCAGTTTTTCCATCGTCAGTAGGCATTTGGTAAACTATGCTGCAAGTTATGTTATTGAGACACTGAACTATAGACAATCAAGAGAAGAGCCTATTGGGATTTAAATTTAACAAAGACCTCATGTGGAACATACGACCCATCGCTTACGATGTTTGAAAAATGGTTAGTTCTCTCTTCCGCTTCAGTAAGTAACTGGCTCCTCCTGCTATTTTCTATCTTTACAAGAGCTAGATCAGATCTAAATTGGAGTCCTGTTGCCATATATGAACAGAAGGTGTCCAGTCTTCATTTCGCTATCTCGATAGGGTCTAAAAAGCTTCTCCACGTCCTCGTGGGTGACAAATTATTTCCCACCCTACAGCCACTTTCTCACATACGAAATGTCGCAAATCTCTCATTGCTCTATCACTATTTTCATGGTAAGTGCTCAGACGAGCCACATTTCTGAGTTCCACTAGTTTCCTCTTGAGCCTGACATTGGTTGAGAAATAGTAGAAAAACAGTCCGTTTACGATTGGTACAAGATATTAGAAATAGCATGTTTGTATAACGATAAAAGTGCTGGGAGACTATCAGTATCTGAAGAATTTGAGCGTAATTTAATAAACTTCATGAATTTCTCTGCAAACTTGTATCATGAAGATCTGGAATTGTTACGGTTAAATAAATTTCTAAAATTATTATTTTTCTAATCACTTTGTCTAACAATATATAAAAAATATTTTATATATGGTTAATATCTCCATTAGAAATTCACAACGTGGGTGGCAGCATCCCTTTAGGAGCACTGTTAACATCCATGTGAACGGGGAGTGTTCAAGGGCAGTCATGATTTTAAGAGGGTAGTAAGATTAACTCTTACCCCATGTGCAGATAGCATAAAGGGTGTCGGGGCAGAAAGTACAATCTACGAATCGAGTTCAAATTCGGGTCTCGTGTGTTACGTTTATTTTCGAACTGATGCATGGAACAAAACCGGTAACCCGAAGCCCATCAGGTTCGATAGCCCGGTTCGGATGCAGCGGCTTGGTTAGTGCTACCGCATGTTACTTCCGGCGTTGAACACGTAACAGTATCTTTGTTACATTAACTCTGTTTAATTTATTGGTGTAATTTTAGCATAGGGCTCACCAGTTCGCGCACAGATCTGAAAAGAAATGCTGAGGAAGTAATCAACTAAGAATCGATGAAGGCTCTTAGTATAACGGGACCTGTGGAAATTTCACGGGTGTTGACAAATGATGTTTTCCATTATTTCATCTGCTCTTCTTTCATCCGTTGGCTGTATCTTCTCTTTATCTTCCTCTAAGAGCGTGAACTAAGTCACACTTGTGAAAATGCCATAAGGAATGTGTGAATATTTTTCAACTGCATACTATCATTTACCATTCTTTTCCTTTATCTCTTTATAATTGTAGAGGACTGTTGCATACTTAAATAACTATAATAGTATTATCGATAATAATTGTATAGATAAATATTGGCACAACACAATCTTATCATGTCCAGTCATTGTTTTCGTTTCATATTCATGTAAGAACGCTTCCAAATTTAAATTGCTCTCTATTAATCATCTGAGAGACCGCTCTCTGCCCTCCATCAACATGGCGGATGCTTACCTCCAGGAGAGTCACTCGTTGCGCCTTCTTGGGATAACCTTCTCGACTGATATGAAATGGAAAGACTATATTAAATCCATTGATAGGTCAGCTGCTAAGAAAGATGGTTCACTGTGTCGTGCTAGATAATTTTTTTCTCCAGAATCTATCGTCAGTCAATCAGTGATACACGCTTAGGCGTTCATGTATCTTTCGAGGCAGATTTTTTTTTCCCGCAGTAGGTTTCCATTTCTTTCTGCAGTAGAACTCAGTCTGTTCTGCTATTTACCCATAGCTGGAGGGAGAAGAAGAGCATTAATACTTTTCCTTAGGGTATTAGCATGTTGGTGAATATAATGGATTTGAGTGGAATTCGAACTCGGCTCTCCGATTTCTCAATCCGAGTCGATATCCATTATTCCTATCTTACATATCTATAAGTTTATCATTCGTCCATGCTTAAAATATTTTTGCTATATATGGTTCGGTGCTCCTGCTATTTAACTAGAGCTACTTGATAAAATCCCAAGAAGAATCAGTATCTTTGTTGGCTCTGTTCTGTCGTTTCGGCTTCAGTCACTTTCCCACTGCCGTTCCTTTTGTATAAATACTTTTATGCTAATTGTTCACATGAGCTCTTCGCTATGGTGTCTACACTCATTGAATGTAAGTGTAGTAATAGAATGGCGATCAGGCCTCACCAATATACAGTTGACTTGGCTGTGGATGTAATCCGTAAATTCTATTCCAAAAGTTTATTTTTCCGCACTTCTCGCTTGTGGAACTCCCTTCCAACTCCATGATTTCCAGCCAATCTGCAATGTCAATCGTTATCTACTGTCCTCTTGATTACTCTTCTTTTGTTCTTTCTCCTTAGAAATGTTGCCTTGGGGTGAAATCTAATATATATATATATATATATATATATATATATAAAAGAAAGAACAGTAAGATATATAATCCGGTGTTCTTATAGATATTTTATTTTTACAAAATAGTGCTCAATGTAAATTTACAGAGCATTAATATTCGCTTGAGGATGAAATGGAACTAATGTCTTTAATTTAATTACAAAATTAAGTTCGCAGCTTTCAGCTTCCATTTTTGAAACATGGTTAGAACTGTGTAGCGAAAAAAACATATCTTAAACCAAATAATTTAGAATCTCTCTCTCTCTCTCTCTCTCTCTATATATATATATATATATATATATATATATATATATATATATGTGCAATTAAAGTAGCAGTCGTTATAATAGTGGTTGTAATGGTAATGATATTATTAGTCCTTTCGTTATATGGAAATATCCGACATTCATTGACTGAAGAGCCCATAGTACTGTCCGTTGAAATGTATAAAATCTTTCTCATGAAACAACTTTTTAGGAAAACAGGTCTTAAAAGTCCAGTAGCTGTTATCGCTCTTTCCAGTATTGATGGGGTTTACTTCTTAACTTTTTATTTGAATTATTATGGCATATCAATATCTTGATTATGTCATTATTTTCTCTTAGAGTCACATGCAATATCCATTTTAGTTGCTGTTGTTGAAAATCCTCAAGTGATACGGTTGCTGTTATTTGGGAAGTTCCTTGTTTGTGATTCTGTAGCGTCAATTCACAAGATTCGAAGAAGAATGTTCTTCGCCAAGACCTACAGACTTCACTCCTTAAAAGCCATTTTAACCATTGATTAGAGAAACTAGTTGTATATAGCTGGCAGTTTTAGATATTTCAGAACGAGTTAGGTGCCATGTTTGAGATTCTAACGAAAGTCTCGATTTGACGAGGCTATTTTAAGAACATGTCCGAGTTTTCAAGTCAATGTTTTTTTAGCAACTAGGGCAGCATATTCTATATCCAATTTCCTTGTCTCCTATACTAAATTTTGTTATAACTGATTCATACACCGAGGTATTTGAAATATTTGATATTTACTAATCCACATACTGAATTTTATTATAGATTCCGGGTACGTACCAAAACTGTTTTCATTCTAATTCTAGTTCATAGTTTCTATTTTGAAAAGGTATCCTTTTTCTTGAAAAATTTCTTAGAGTTGGTTGATATTCTGTTCAATATCATTCCTATCCCAACCATGATTAAAATGATTTTCTAAGCGCGGCTTAAATGTGGTACAAGGCCGAAAGTATCGGGCCCTCCAATACTCAGTTGGAATTTTTCTAGCAAGACAAGCTTGCTAACCATTGTACCACGCCGAGGTGTCTCCCAACCCTGAATCAGTATCGTCCCTCTCATCATCAGCACATTGGCATTGAATGGGAAAGCAGCATCGTTGTCTTGTATTAGTAAAGCCGTTTGGGATGTACTATTAAATGTTTAAATAATCAGTGACATATGTTTACATTTGTGTTTGTAATTGGGCAGGGATAGCCTAGGAAATGATTAAATAGACTGGGGCTCTCATTTCTTCCTTGCCGTACTCCCGATGAAGTTTCATTTAAACAATAAATCCCCGAAGATAAAACGATTCGAAAAATGATAATGATGATTGTAATTCCGTTGTTGAGTATTATGATGGTGATTATTATGATGATGATTATAATTGGGTTGTTGATTATTATGATGTTGATAATGCTGTCTCTAAAAATATGCATAAGAGATTTCTGGGAAAAATGCACTCGGTTTAACATTCAATGACTTTTTGATTATTTTTCAGAAGATTTTCATAAAATATATATATATATATATATTTACAAAGTTTTAGTTTAAATGCATTTATTACTGTTTTGAAATTTGTGATTGTTGTTGAATTTTCAGCATTTGTTTCTTGTTTGGTCAGATGTACAAAACAAATATTTCTCCATCACTCAGTCTAGACACTAACAACATTGTTACATTTCTCGTCTTCATCTTTTATTCCATAATACAAAATACTACATACCATCAATACCCAAAGGGATTTAATGATTCAAATAATGCAGACGACAGTTAATTCACATTCTACAGCATGTGATGGGTAAATTGTTACTATTTTTTATTTATAATTTTTTTGCGCATACGCGTTGTTTTTGCTTTTGTCGACTGCACATTATAGTAGGGTCATTTGGGAACCGTCTGCGAGAAAAAGAGCATCATAAGGCAGTTCACCTCGCCAGAAATTTGGAAACGGCATGCTGTACTTCTTGGCATTCGCACCGGAATCTCCAATACGAACATTTCACAGTGTTTGGATGCCAATCTGACGACAATGCAGAGGATTCGGAAAGAGTCGGATGAGTCTAATGGTGATTACGAAGGTATTTGGAATGATTACTAGTGATGGTGACATTATGCCTCCATTCATTTTCCCACAGGGCCTCACGTTCAACACGGAGTCCTACATCAAGTGCCTTCAGGAAGTAGTGCTGCCCTGGGTCAAGAGGCTGCTGAATGTCTGTCAACAGGACTCTGCATCATGCCACACAATCAGTCATGGCTGTCATACAATTTCTGCGACCACATCACACCTGACCACCCAACTTCCTAGATTGCAACCCTCTTGATTATTATGTCTAGTGGGTGTCAGTTGAGCGAGAGACCACCAAACCTCCTTGTAACACCAAAGATGAACTGAAGACAACGACTCTGGCAGCATTCACCAACTTAAATGAGAAGACCGTCCAGAAGTGTTGCAGGAGATTCTGAAGTCGTCTAGAGGCCGTGGTTGAATAAATTTACTCTTCAGTATTTAAAGGTATTTTTGTGTAATTTTGGTAAATATATCTGTTAAAATGAGAAGTCAGTATTATTTTCATTTTTGTGTAATTTAGACGACAATTTATCCATCGCACATTGTATATTCTAAAATCGGCTAGATTTTCCTGCCACAACCTCTTTTTGGATTTCATCACCATATATTCAGTTAAACTATCCACCCGTTAACGCCAACAGTACATAAATTTGCTCGCGCCTCACCAACTTTTATGTGATAAAAAGTACATTTACAAATTTAAAAAAAAGAGAGTGCGTTAAAGAGAGAATATTATCATTGATAACTCTCTCCTTCAATTTACTGACCCTATTTAATATGTTCTTAATACTTGATACAATGCAAAAATATCACAAGGATAAAATCGGTCAATAATTATTTATAACTATTTATACCGGGATGCAATTACAATAATTCCATAATAATATTTTAAATATTGAAATTATATTTATTTTTGGCATATGAATGTTTTGGAACTGTTTCTAAATCTTTGATTGTCTTTCAATCATTCCGCCTCACCTGCTATCCTCTTTCGCCTCACCTGCTATCCACTTCCACCTCAACTGCTATCCTCTTCCGCCTCACCTGCTATCCTCTCCCGCTTCACCTGCTATCCTCTTCCGCGTCAGCTGCTAACCTCTTCCACCTCACCTACTATCCTCTTCCGCCTCACCTCCTATCCTCTTCCGCCTCACCTGCTATCCTCTTCTGCCTCACCTCCTATCCTCTTCCGCCTCACCTGCTACCCTCTTTCGTCTCACCTGCTATCCTTCTTCTTCCGCTTCCCCTGCTATCCTCTTCCGCCTCACCTGCTATCCTCTTCCGCCCTGCTATCCTCTTCCGCCTATCCCTCTTCCGCTTCCCCTGCTATCCTCTTCCGCCTCACCTGCTATCCTCTTCCGCTTCCCCTGCTATCCTCTTCCGCCTCACCTGCTATCCTCTTCCGCTTCCCCTGCTATCCTCTTCCGCCGCAACTAGAGGCGCGCTGCACTGGTCTAAGTAATATTTGCTTCTTGACTCTGCCTCTGTTCAGTTATCCATTTATATAAACTCGTTATCTAGGTTACTCCCTTTTTCACTAAGCCTTTTTTTTGTCTTCATTATGTCCTTCTGGCATTCAATATGCTTCCTCTCCCTGCCATCTAGTCTGATAAGTGTATACCAAATACATGCATCACAGTCAAATGTACTCAGTATGCTGATAGGTTTTGCTAAAAGTAAAGTATAACCTCCAGGTGGGCCCAAACTAGGAATACTTTTAGGTCAGGTAACCCGAAGCATCTATATCTAATTCCCCAGTCGTCTTGGTTGACCCAAACTACAAAAAACAACCCTATCAACACCCGCCCATGATACGCGCTCACTACTTCTGGCCATGAGTTGCACCTAGATAACATCCCTAACATGTCAGGCAAGAGACAAGCAAATTTGAGGTACTGAAATAGATATTCACTCTAGCCCATCTTAAGACAAAACATGTAGATGTTAATACCTCTTTCTTCATTCAGTTATGTGCCATGCGTGATACATGCTTAGGCGATCATGTACCTTTCGATACATGACAGACAAGGCAGATTGTTTTCCCGCAGTAGGTTGCCGTTTCTTTCTGCGGTAGACCAGTTGAGATCCAAGGCTATAGAACTCGGTCCTGTTATTTAACCATAGCTGGATGTAGAAGAAGAGGATTCATACTTTCCCCAAGAGTATTAGCACGTAAATGGATGTAATGGATTTGACTGGAATTCGAACTCGGCTCCCCGTTTCCTCAATCCGAGCCGCTATCCATTACTCCACCGTGTCTCCACCTTTCCTCATTATGTGTTTCAGAGATCTTAACTGTCTCTGAAATTAGGTTATCTTTTTTCCATTTTCCTTAAAACTTCTCTTTGTTCTCATGTTCCGTTCCTATTATTCTCAGCATCCTCCTGTAGAGTAATATCTCTGTTGCTTTAAGTATCATCTTCATCTGTGAGGAAATTGGCCAGTATACACTACTTTATAGGAGTATTGATATTGCACAGTAATCCAGCAGGGTGTTTAAATCACATATTATGTGCCCGATCCGGAGAGGGGCAGTCTCACAAGGCTAACCTTCTACTTTGGTAGAGAACTACGGTCATTATCTGAGGACTGAGGTGTTCCCCAAAACAGGGGGACTTCAGTAATTTATTCCCTAGTTCTCGTACGTATTGGCTACTAACACACTTTAAACAACCTTTGCATTCTTCCGTTCCAGTGTATGCACCTACTTCTTACATCAGCCAGAACGTAATGGAGGTTAAAATTATATAAATTGCTTGAGCACCAGGAAATTGTCCTCTCAGAAAATACCTCGCCTTCTGTGGCACGAATTAATTGCATTTCCGAAGGAGAAATGTTGAAGAAGATTGAGCACTTGTTATCCTTAATCCAATGAACTTCCCTGTTATGCTTGACCTTGTGCCATACACCGTCCTAGTGGGGGTGTGCGAGTAGGTATCTGTTTAGCTGGTGCTTCTGGTATTGCGATGAAATATAATCTCTGTCAAAGAATTTATCCAGAGATATAAATAAAAAAAAAAAAACAGGCAGACGAACATTTGCTATGAAATAATGAAAAATAGACAACAGTTACATTGACGTACAGTGACGTAAACAAATTTGAACTGCTTTTTATTAGAAGCGATTGTCTCTAATGCCCACATGATACATGAAACTAAGACATAGAACGAATTTTGTAAAAAAGGTGTTGTGGGCATCTAATAGATTGATTGGAGGGACCCCCCACTTTGACCGTTGACTTCTGTCTGGGAAGCCTTCTGCCTAGGGATGCCATGACATCACCGCTCTAGCCACAGACATAACTGGAGAATGCAATCTACATAAATGGTCGTTGTAAAGGCAAATCTTTGATCGAGTCTTACTCGTAGAGTGACCACTCATAAAATCGCATAATTCTATATTAACCTTCTTAGAGGAATTCCTTTTGTTTTTGACCGAACAAATTATTGGCGGGAACAGTATTTCCTGACTAGTTTGAAATACATATATTCGAACATTGCGTCGAGGAACACTAGTGGGTTGCATTCGTAAAAGGAGTGGGAGATTGTTATATTGTCATATAATATTCTGATATTAAAACCAAGAAGACTGAAGGTGGATCACGTTGCGTTTCAGTCTGTAATTACGACGTAATATATTCAACAGATGTTGAGTTATACGCATGCGTGAGAAAGAGTTTTGATTTTTATAAAATAAATCTATCTCACCGGAAGAGGGAACTAATGCATTACGATAGGATGTTGCCTACATGGCAGTTGTTCGTGTTAGAATTACCGATGCACTATGAATTAATCAAATCTTTACGACACCGCAACACACACACATATGTGTATATAAATAAGTAAAGGCGGGAGGCGTGGTTCTTCTGATGTTGCTTGTTCATCTATCTATCTATCTATCTATCTATCTATCTCTCTATCTCTCTATCTCTCTCTATCTATCTATCTATCTATCTATCTATATATATATATATATATATATATATATATATTCTGTTTGTTACCAATATGGTTGACTCATATTTCAACTGTAAATCTATGAAGAGTATCTCTATTCACAAACCCCATTCATCAATGTCAGGTCATTTGGTTTTCTTTAGCCCGAAAAAGCTGCTTAATTTAAGTTGATAATCGCATGGATTATAATCTACATAAGACATTCGTTCTACCTTTCGTTGGAAGGGACGTTTAGTTTTTACGAAATTGCTTTTATAAAAACCGCTTTTGATTGCATTTTAACATTTGTCACATACAAGTTTTCTCCTTTCATGTACTTCTTCATGATTTGATATCTCTCTCATTTTCTGTTCTGTCAGCAGTTTGAAAAATCTCTTTAAGTAGGTTACTCGCTGTTGCCTTTTGTCCATTTTATCATCTGATTATATTCTGTAAGTGTCAAGTTCTTCAAGCCCTCTTTCATCACAATATATCTTAGGAATTTCAATTGCCTCGTTTCTGATTTTATATATTAGGTTGGTGCAAAAAATAATTTCGTTTTCTAACATATGTTACTATGTGAGAAAACGAAATTATTTTTGCACCAACCTAATACAACTAGCAGTATAACCCGTCTTTGACCGGGTGTTTCATTATTGGGAAATTCTGCTGTTTAATTGGAGCAGTTTAAGTTTAAAGTCAGTCCACTCGAAAATCAATATTAGTAACAACAATTGGGTGCAACCGAGGCACATCCCTAAATGGGGGGTTAACAATATGAATGGGGGGCCCTGAAAAGGAAAATTTTTTGCGTTCTCAATCTTGCAAGGAAGGAACAGCTTCCATGGACCGTCATATTAATACGATAACTTTTATTTATAATATATATTTTTTTAAATAATTCTAATAACCTTTTGTGTTAGATTTCAAGTCTTTCAATTTATTGTACGCTTTTTTTTTTACATACATTAAATTTTACCTTTGATTTTTGCGCAAAGTGTAAAAAATCAGTTTTTTCGATTTTTCACTTTCAAGGTTGTAATTTTTTCGAGCCAATCTGGACTCAAAACCAGCATTAAAGAATTATCTATCAAACAAAAAAAAAATCTAATCGAAATTAGATGAAAACTGTAGAAACACATAAACAACATCAGATCACGCACACACACACTTTGTGAATTATAGATATAGATTGTCATTTTTGTTTCTATTTTTCTTAAAACGTATGGTGTTTTCATCCTCCTTCTGTAGAACGACACCTCTGTTACTTCAAGTCTCCTCTTTATCTGTGAAGAAATGGCCCGCATTCACTGGCATATATGAGGTTTGATATTACATGGAATTTCACTTTTTTCTTTGTTTCTAACAAACTTTTTCTGTTTCTTAATATTTGTTTAGTTTTTTAGAGGCATCTTTCGCTATTCAAATCCACCTTCGGATTTCGCTGTCACATTTTCTGTTCTCTTTTCTAACATTTCCCAGATATTTAGATTTTTGTGGTGACTTATTTTTGACATTTTCAATTCGTAGCACGTATCCCGAGACATCCTTCTAACCGACGAACATTTCATTCTGTCTTCTTCGATCTGTCTGCTTAGTTCTTCTTTCCCGCACATTAAAAAAAAAAACTATTTGAAAATATTGAAACCGTCAACATAATGTCCTATCTTAAAGAAATTGGTTTATACCAAAACATATGACGCCTACAATATATAATCTTCAGAATATATGTCTATAATACTTATGTTTGCCCTGCTAGTATAAAATTATGTACAAAATATCTGTAACTGAAGTTATAAAACTGCGTACTAAATATTTAAATTTCGGCATTAAATAAGCCATAGAAGTGTTGATATTGCCGCTAAACAAAAACAACGAACCAACCGACTTTCTTCTCGATTTCCTTTGCCAATTGTCTAAGAGTTCCTGCAGTTATATTTCAGTGTCTCTCATCAAAACGGTGCCATCTGCGTAGCTTCTACCATTAAGATTGAGAGCACCAATAATAAATCATGGTGGGACTTTTAGTTGTCTTAGGATCGCCTCGATGTAAAGGTTAAATTTATTTGAAGAAGGGTAAAAATACGACACAAATACCGGGTGTAACAGCAAATTGTCCGGTATCTGTCTATATTTCTGAGATGAGGTATTATGTACATTATTTACATTATTCGGACTATTGTCCTCATCTTTGTCGCCATATTTATTACAACTTTTCGGCCTTTCAGTATATGTCTATATTTATGAGATGAGGTATTATGTACATTATTTACATTATTCGGACTATTGCCCTCATCTTTGTCGCCATATTTGCTACAACGTTTCGGCCTTTCAGTATATGTCTATATTTCTGAGATGAGGTATTATGTACATTATTAACATTATTCGGACTATTGTCCACATCTTTGTCGCCATATTTATTACAACGTTTCGGCCTTTCAGTATAAGTCTATATTTCTGAGGTATTATGTACATTATTTACATTATTCGGACTATTGTCCACATCTTTGTCGCCATATTTATTACAATGGCCGTTCTACGCTCCGGCCTTCTTTAGGTTGCTGAAGACATTAAGTTTGTAATACCTAGAAATTCATACACAGATGTCCTCAAGGATACATTGTACAGTCGAACTGAACCCTTTATTTCATTCACTGGGGTAGACTGTTCTAGTTCCACGTGCTATGTTTAATCAGTTATCAGTTATCTCCTGTTAATTTCCCTCTGAAAGTTCTCCACTGCCATAACCGGGTATTGAACTCATACTCTTTGGGTCCTGTCACTGGATCTAACTAACGCCTTTATCCATGTGTCCCTGAGGACATCTGTGTATGAATTTGTAGGTATTACAAACCTAATGTCTTCAGCCCCATTTTTTACCAGGTCTCATATTGCAAATTTTGGTGTTGTCATTGCATGTTTTTACCAGAGATTTCTGACCATATGATCCGGGTTTGAATCGCTTTCTCGACTATTTATCAGGGTAGTGACTTTTTAATTTTATTGGCCTGGGTGGGGGGCGATTCCAGCGTGAGGCACTGTTGCAAAATGTATGGAAACTATACTCAAACCTGTTCGAAAGCCGCCAATGGTTGTGCTAAGAAGAAGTCACAAGTCATCGTGACCGAGGTATTGAGATTCTTCAAGCCGTTGATCACACCAGATTAGGTATTATCTCTCAGAAACAGTCACTACGGGCTGCATCGTTGCAATATAAACAATTCTATGTGTTTTGATCAGACACAAATGCGCGTTTGCAACATAGATTTGTAGAAAGGGGCAGTAGGAAACGAGTAGACGGTATTATGTTAACTGGCAATAAAAAGAGATTCATAGGGGACCGGAATATTTTAGATAAAATTCCATAAAAAATGGAGAAATTATCATATTTGATGATATCTAAATCCGTCACTCCTTCTAATGGCAATAGAGTATTATGGACTTCTAGGGTGACTTGTTAAACATTAGCTTATCGGTTAACTCAATTTCGTAGTCTTCGGTATGACGATAAACTACACCCGGCAGCAAGGTCACTGATCGGGAGATTGAAGGTTTTGAGGAGCGTGGAACCACCTCTTAATTGTTGCTGTTCCCAGGTCTCCCCTGATCCGGGATGCAAGCACTGGTTAGGGTCTAATCTATGGACATATACTGAATCTTTATTAAAACATTATTATAAAAGTATGAAAATATATTATTATGGTAAAATTACCAGCAATACATATTTATATGACAAAATAACAACAATATATACAGTGCTGTGCAAAAGTAAGTGAACCCTAAGATAATATTTAAAATAATTGTCTCTGTTTTCCAGATAATCAACAAATCTTAAATACACTATATATTCGTTAGCAAAAACTTTTATTAAATCAGTTATAACCACTTTCAAAAGAAATTATCAAGCTGGAAGAAAAATATTAATTAAAAATTATGATTTGCAAAAGTAAGTGAACCCTTACATTTAATGCTTGGGACCGCTTTTTTTGAGGTTACAATGTAAACCAGTCTTTTTATATAATTTTTAAAAAGTTTCTGGCAGTAGTGAGTGCCAACTTTTTGACCATTCTTCTTGGCAAAACTCACACAATTGCTCGATACTACCAGGGTTTCTTGCATGTAATGCCTCCTTTCACTTGAACCACAGATTTTCAATTGGATTCATATCAGGACTTTGATTAGGCCGTTTCAAGACTTTCTTTTTATAAACCCATTCTTTTGTTGACTTGATTTGATGCTTCAGATCATAGTCCTGTTGGAAGATACAGCTTCACCCTAAACCCAACTCTTGAACTGAGGACAAGAAACTTTCGTTAAAAATTGCTTGATATCTTGCAGAGTCCATTGTACCGTCAATATGTACTATTTCGCCTGTTCCATTTACATCAAAGCACTCCCAAATCATAATGCTTTCACCACCATTTTTAATGATTGATATCAAATTCTTCCCCAAAAGCGGTATTAGGAGCCCATCAGATATACCGTCTATTGTTCCTCCCCAAAAGCTCTAGTTTGGTCTCATCCGTCCATAAAATCTTTTGCCAGAATGTTTCGAGCTTAGTAATATGAGTTTTGACATAGTTGAGGCGAACATGCTTCTGCTATTTCGTAAGCAGTGGCTTTTTCTAGGCATTCTGCCATGAAGATCGGCATTGTTTCGTCATACTTTAAATATATGCACATTGATACCGACAATGGTCAGTGAGTATTGGAGAACCACAAAGGTCACAGCAGAATTTGCCGGGCCTTCCCGAATTAAATGTCTACTTGCTCTTGCTGTTATTTTTCGTGGGTGGCCACATCTTGATTGCAATACGAAAGGCCTTCCATTTATAAATAATTTTTTGCATGGTAGAGAAGTGTATTCCAAATCGTTTTGATATTTTTTTGTAACCTTCTCTATCATTATAGGTATCAGTTATGCAATTTTTGAAGCTTTAGGAAGTTATTTTGTTCTTTGCATATATACTTTTAAAATTTAGTCTCTAACTGCACACCTTTGTGTTATGGGACCTTACCCATAATAACATAATGGACTATTCCATACGTAATAAATACTGCGCCTCAAGAGGAAGCAAGGAGTTCAGTCCGAAGTCGGGTGACCGGCTGATCGGTTGAACTCTCTGCCTTCGGGCGGAGAGTAACCCGATACAGGCTACGCCGAAGGGCGGAGTCTCTTTCGGGGAGGTAAACCGACACTGAACCCGTTTATACGGGTTCAAAGGGCATATTTTTGGCCGTGCCCACCGCTCGAAGATCCCAAGGGCTCAGAGATCCCAAGGGCTCAGAGATCCTACGGGCTCGATGGGCCCACGTTCAAAGGGCATATTTTTGGCCGAGCCTACGGGCTCGGAGATCCCACGGGCTCTGTGGTCCCACGTTAAATCGGCCTTGTGCCACACGATGCCCTCGTAGTGGGGATGAATAAATGCCGTTCAGTCTGAAGTCGGTCGACAGGCTGACCGGATGATCGGTTGAACTCTCTACCTTTGGGCGTGGAGGAACCAGAATGAGGCTACGCCGAAGGGCGGGGTCTCTTTCGGGGAGGTAAATCGACCCTGAACCCGTTTATACGGGTTCAAAGGGCATATTGTTGGCCGAGCCCTCGGTCTCGGGGATCCCACGTTAAACCGACCTTGTGCCACATGATGCCCTCGTGGGGGGGTGACTGAATATCGTTCAATCTGAAGTTGGGCGACCGGCTGATCGGCTGATCGGTTGAACTCTCTGCCTTCGTGTCGGGGAGGAACCCGAACGAGGCTACGCCGAAGGGCGGGGTCTCTTTCGGGGAGGTAAACCGACCCTGAACCCGTTTATACGGCTTCAAAGGGCATATTTTGGCCGAGCCCACGGCTCGGAGATCCCACGGGCTCGAGATCCCACGGGCTCGGAGATCCCACGGGCCCCCACGGGCTCGGAGATCCCACGTTAAACCGGCCTTGTGGCACATGATTCCCTCGGGGTGGGGACTAAATACTGTTCAGTCTGAAGTCTGGAGTGAAGTCCGTCAGGAGTCTGTCAGTCAGTCAGAGCGAGCGAATCAGTCAGTCGAGTCAGAGGCAGTACGAAACAGAGTTGTATTTGGACAATTACTACTAAACCTGATTGTTCGTACTAACGCTTTTCTACTTCTCTGTATCTATTCCTGTTTGTAATATATCTGTGTTATTCCATATCCGTATTCAAGTTCTTCTTTATTGGTTCAACCTTGCACTATCACCGTGGTACAAGAAACCGGACCATAACACTTTGCATACACAATGAATTATATTATTTAACTGCAGTATACACAGCTTTCAAAAAAGCCATGAATGATTTTGATTTTTACATGTGCACAAAAAAATTATTTGCACCTACAACCATGTAAAACAAAAATACAAATTGTAAACGTAAGGATTCACTTACATTTTCACATCTCGATTTTGAAATAATATTTTTATTTGAGCTTTACAAAAATTTTGAAAGTGGTTGTAATTCATTTAATAAATGTTTTTCTTAATCAATATATAGTTTAATTAAGATTATCCGGAAAAAAGAGATAATTTTTTAAAACATTATCTTAGGGGTTCACTTACTTTTGTACAAGACTGTAGCTATACCAACTTTAATGCAAAATGACCAGCAATATTTTCATAGTAGAATTACCAACAAAACATTTTATCTGCAGTTGAGGCCATGTATATATGGTCAAAATATTTAAATTTCGGCATTAAATAACCTATAGAGGTTGGCATGCCGCTAAACAAAATCATCCAATCAAATCTCAGTTTCGCATATAATCTCGTTTTCTGAATAGACAGGCCTTCCCGGTTAGTTAATTTTTTTTCCAACTTACCCACTCTTATTCTTGACCACTCGTCTGTTTTATTTTCCCACTCTTTATTCCAGTCTCCTCTCCATCCTATTTCGTTCCGAAACCAATTAAAAATTATATGAATTTTCCAGGCTACCATTTTATTCCACCCTACCCTTCTATTCTATTCTGGACTTAAGAGTAAGACTAAGGAGATATTTTTAATCCACTTTGCGAGAAGACAAGAAGTTTTTCAAATATAGTAATGTTTTAAATGGACGTGTCGATAAGTAACAAAAATCGACAAAAGTATTTAGAATCGGCTCGCCGAGTTCAAATTCTAGGCTAGTCTGCTGAATTAATTTTCCCCGTAATGGCACTGGAGAATTCAAGAATCCTAATTATCGGTTAAATAGTAAGGTAGACTTGGCTATCTAGTCTTGAGTGATAGTCTACAACAACGCTGAATTCGAAACCACAGAGAAGGAAACTATTGTACTATGTTTCCCAAGAAATTATGGTAATTCACAGACAATAAAAGAAAGGAATTTGTGGAGAGCAATGATCGCCTATGTCCTGGAGAGAGAATGACTGTCCTGAATTCAAAACTGGAGAAAACAACGAGAAACAACCCTGGTGTCTTTCCATCGAATCATTGATAATTAACAGATAATAAGGAAAAAAGGAACTTGTGGAGGGCCCTGGGCCTTGATCGACTCCGTCCTTGAAAACTGAGAAAAAACGAGGAACTATTCTGAATTGGTAATTGGATTAAAAGGAAAATGGTCATGATCGCCTTACCCTGAATCAGCGTAAATGACGGTTCCGTAAAACACTGGAGAAAACAACGTTCGAATCCATGACAACTCACAGAGATAATAAAGAAAGAATTTTGTGGAGAGCGAATATTTAACAAAAGAAAACTTCCATCCTGAGAAAAATCCATCATTCAAATATCTGCCGGAAAAATTTTATTTAATACTGTTTATTATAAACAGAACAATTTTTAATAAATACTTGTATCTATAAACAAGAACGTTAAACATAAAATGTAACTTTTTTATAAAAATAAAAATAAAAATATAATAAGAACACCGGATTATAATTGTTCGGACTTTTGTCCATTTATATATATATATATATATATATATATATATATATATATATATATATATATATATATATATATATATATATATATATATATATATATTTATAGTTTATAACAAATAAAGTAGTGTAATGTATATACGACGCCTTCCAATTGCGAAATCGGTTCAGAGCTAAGTTTGAAAATTCCTGTTCGAGTTTTATTTACGCATCTTTTTAAATCGTTCCTAAATTGTCGGATTTGTCCATTTCTTAATTATATATATATATATATATATATATATATATATATATATCCAGGTAGTGTAATGTATATCGGCTTCCATTGAAATCGCAGTTTGAATTCTGTTTGTTATCTTGGTTATGATTGTATTATCCAGAAAAGTAACTGTTATCTTGGTTATGTATTATGCCCTTGCAAATAAAAATAATTATTCTTGCAATGCACAATGTTTCGGTTTTGAATAACCCACAAAGTTTTGATAAGCCGTAAAAACAGCCCAATCAACCAACATTAATATAGATATATCTAATAATAGCCGGTTTTTCGTTGCCGAATACGCCGGTCTTCTATGATGTTTACTTAATACCTGTTGCAGACTCTTGCTCAGGTATATTAGTGTTTCTTCAATATCCACAGAATCCTATCGTCTCGATAACTATCTGCTGATATTTGTGGGGCATCATCTTGCGCGTAAATTGAACTCTCTAACACTTGTCATAAATGCTCTATTGGGCCTTCGACTGAACTTGATGGCAACACCTTTCGTTGTAATCTCTATAATACTCACCAAATTAGTTCTAAGCAATTTGAGTGATATTACGGTGAATTATCTTGTTAGAATGATTCATCGTTAGGGCATATGGCGTTAATAAACTGGTGTAAATGGTCACTTAGCAGTGTAACGAAGAAGTCACCAGTCAATGTTATGTTTAGGCGTACGAGCCGACCACACTGATTCCACCTAAACATAGCCAAAAACTTTATGAAACTATGACCAACCTGCATAATACCTTGCTGACAACTGGAGTCGATTATCTCATAGAGTCGTCGGCATCACACCCGATTCCTATTAAAACCATTAATTCAGGACTCAATCAGCGACGTCATCAGCCCAGAAAAAGCACCGTGTCTGGTGTCGTGGTGTTACTAGCGGCAACTTGTTGGGTTTCTCAATCCGATATCACGTAGAAGCTAAAGAAAGCAGAACTGATCTGTTGGATGTAAATCTGCATTGCATATCAATATGATTTGAGCCAATGCCGCTTGTTTTTTACCGCATATCGTTCCAGCCAGACACCTCTGATCTCGAGCATGAAGGAGTAGATTTTGGTCACAATGTGAGATAATGACACCCATCTAATATTTCCAGTACATACCCAAATGTCCCCACTGTTTTAGAAATTCAGTGTCTGACACTCAATATCATGAACCGTTCGAATTGTGATAATTCACGCCGTTTTGACATGATCCGCCATGCCAGTGAGAGGCTAACTCAATAAATGTCAAAGAACAATTGATATTGGTACGGTGGATCTACCTACCATTATCTTTACAGACTGCTACCTCATTTCTTTTGACACCCCAGTACTGTTTCTTCTATTTTAATATGTTGATGATTCGATGACTTCAGAAAAATAATTTTTTACAAGAACAAAATATACATTCGTGAGATGCCATTAAAATTAAGCATTTTTTTTTTACTTTAATTGTATCGGCGTATAAATTAAGTTTAATTACAACTCAATTTTGATTTTTTAAACCGTTATTTTTATTAATTAATTTTTATTTAATGTTTATTATTTATTCAGGTTTTCCGTGAATTATATTTTATTTCGATAAATCGTGTAATGGAAGTCATCTTGAACGGCCACTTTTCTAGATCCTTTCGGCTTACGACCATATCATGTTGAAACATCAGTTTTCGTACGATTACCGACGTCAAGCAATGTTGATCCCGGTCAGTAACTAGATGGGTGACCGCTTGGGAATATCATATGCTGCAAGCTTGGATGTGAGATTGGTGTAGTTGATAAGCGACTCAGAATATGAAAGTTGAGTTATAATTTCAGTGGTGTTCGTCATATTCACTTACGCGCAAATACCCTCTGGGAAAGGAGACACTTCGATATAGTGTAATGGTTACCAAGTTTGTCTCGCGAGATCAATTACAATTGAGAAGTTTGTTCGACCCTCACTGGGTGCCCCATATTTTCGGTCTTGTGCCACATCTAAGCTATGCTTAGAAAACCACCAATAACTCCGGGAAATGTATGAATCCACCTCTGCTCCCCGCAGCTATGGGTTAATCAGTAAGACTTGTATCAGTAAATCATTATTATCTGTAAAAATTATTGCAATCTAAAGATACTTCCTGTATCTAAATAACCTGAAAAAGGTTGTTAAGCCGTAAAAATAGAAATCAATCAATATAGATTCTTTAGCATTAATGCAGATGTTCTTCAGGACTCTATTCTTGAACCAGCCTTATCTCCATCAATGATCTTCCTGATGTCATCACTTTTCAACTTGGTATTTATGCTGATGTTTAAAACTATTTCCTTCTATCTTAATAGTAAATCCGATAGTTCCTGATTAAGGTGAAAATGGCAGATTCTCTCCAAAATGACCTTGAATCAGTTTATGATTCTACTTGCCAACAACAGTGATAAATATATAAACCTATCCAGTCATAAAGTAACGGATGACCAAAAGGAATTCCTAAATCTAGAACCAGCCTAAATTTGAAATTATAAAAACACAAGAAAAATGAAATAAAAAAAAAATTATCTGCTGTACCTTGTCAGTGGTATTTAATAAAACTTGTATAAAAGATGGACTGCTGCCAATTACACAATATTGTGTGTGTGTGTGTGTGCGCGTGCTCTGTTGGTGCAACGATTATCAGCACAGAAAATGGGAGTAACTTAACGAGTTAAAATTCCAATCGATGTTGTTACTGTGTAGTAATACAACTGGAAAAAGCATAAACAATTTCTTCACTACGCCTTCAGATATGGTTAAATAGTAGGGTAGATTAATCTTTCTAGCATTAAGAAGGCAACCAGTATTACCCACTCACTACCAAAAGTTAAGAACAGAAACGTGGATACAGGTTCGATTCCTGTTGGGAGGTATATTTTCTTTAATAAAACATTCGATATCTAAACTGGTAGACATTAACTTCACTGTTTAAGAAGCAGAGCTGTACTCAAACACCTTTACCCACTAAATACAATGGTTATAGTAACAACATATATATATATATATATATATATATATATATATATATATATATATATATATATATATATATATATATATATATATATATATATATATATATATATATATATATATATACATATATATATATATATATATATATGTGTGTGTGTGTGTGTGTGTGTGTGTGTGTAAACAGATATATAGATATTCTTAAAAAAACTAATTTCGAGTATGTGTGCGTATGTGTGTGTTTGTGTGAATATGTGTAGATTTTACATACGTTTGTGAATATGATTCACATTCATCCATGTCAGGCCAATTTAATTCCCTACTCCGACATACATAGAAAAAAAGGAGATGGAAAAAAAAAAGAATCTATCTATTAATCGATACAATAGAGCGTGTTCACACGGTACTAGTAGGAGTTCATATAAAGGCATCTATTTCGAGTTGAAACCCTTGATTCGAAATTTATATACACTTTGAAAGAAAGTAAGTACATTTGTATACTTGCAAAATCTCTCTATATATTCATCTGTAGATTTGAGCAAAACAAATTTGACTGAGAGCTTTGTATGCCGTTCCTAATTTCTCATAGTTGCTGTTATTAAATATTCATACTTGTGGAACATTTGCCACAATATTGTCTTCACATCAGGGTTCGTTGTTGTTGTATGTAGCAAAAACAGGGCAGCTGTGCATTGAACTTTGGCCCAAGTTTGGGAAGAGTCAATTGACAGCGCGATTAACATATCATATATAACACAAATAACGACGGGGTGTTTGTTTTTGCTGTGGCCACGACGGTAAACTGTGAGCAAATGATGACGAAACCAGAAGACACCGGAAGTAGTAAGCACCAACCCCTGCCGATGTCGTCCGGCCCATCATTCGTTCCGATCCCAACATATGAAAAGGTAATCATAGTTGTTAGCCTGTGGGGGCGGGAACAGAGGCATGGACGTAGGAGGGCCATGCTGGAGAAGTCGGTAGGGTGATATTAACCGAAAGAAAGCCGTTTCGTTCTAAACTCCCAACCCGTCTCTTCCTTCTCGATCCATAGCCAAACTTTATGTTTTTTTCATTATAACATTAAACAGTAATTTACGAACAGATCTGCTCTTCAAACTACTGCTAAAATTCACAGAGAACAATTTGAAACATTCCCAGGCATATGCCCTTTTTCTCGTAGATCTATATGGAAGCGGATTATACCAGGAACAAAGATACTGACACAGTAGGCATTGTCCTGGAAAGACGTTTAGGTTTCTCTCTCAGACTCGATTTCTAACTAACCGTCTTTATACCAATTTGGTCAGTGCAAATAACTCACCATTTTAATAGATGGAAAGCAATACCAATTCTAGTGGTTTTTGGATAGTGAAAAGTTTACAAGTCTGCAAAGAGAAGGAGTAAGTTCTATTTAGAAAGATTCTTCTTCAGAACTATTACTTCAAGGAACAAACTCCTGAGGGTATGCTTCCCCTACGACTAAAATCACAACCTCTTCAAGTCTGTCGTCAAACGATATCTACCTTACATCTCATAATACACACTTGTGACGTTTTTTTTAAAATCAATTTACTCCAAACAAGGCGATAATGCCACTAGGACACAAGGGGGCTATTGAGAGTGAAAGAGAATGAGAAAATTATAGAAGGATCCGGAAACCTAACCCTAAACAGAGAGCAAAGTATAAACTTCTACTTCTGTTCAAAAGGTCGGGAGGAGTGTAAACCGAGCGATAACCAAACCTACCTACTTCCTAATTTTTTCTTTCTTTATGCCCTTAAAACAATCACACTCAGTAAGTCTCTACCTTGAGTGGCTCTTAGATGATAAAGAAACTGCAATGCTACAAGAAGATTTACAATATGCATTCCTTCTTCAAAGTTTTCAACGATTTACTTGTCATTTTGCGCTTGTCACTCATGGGCAAACTTTCGCTTCTATTTTGTCGTTTTTGGCTTTTTATTCTTCTTAGAAATATCTCTTTCCTATTCGTTCTCCCTCCTCTGCTTCAGGAACCCTTCCTCCTGTCATATTTGTCTGCTGTTAAATTGATTTTAGTCAACAAATAAATCTACCGGCTTCCAAGTAGGGTGCCCGTGTCTCGAAATATCATTACATCCTAGACTGCGATTTGGTAGCATTGTTTTCCGTTCAAATGAGCCCCGAAGTCATTGAAGCGTCTCCGTCAGTGTTTTGAGTTTCGCATCTCTTGTTGAAACGCATGCTCTCCTGGGTCTCCTGTGTGGATTAAAATAAACAGAGGCGATCTCAAGTTACCCAATCTATAGAGTCTTGTTGAGGAAATTAATGGTGTGCTGGGGGTTTGGTTGTGATGATGTTGTTTTTGGGTACATATCATGGCCTCGCCGGCGCTAAACAACAGTGGATCATAGCTCAGGTGCTGAAAATCTCCCACTGACGCTAGAGTTGATTTCAGAATTCACAGAAAAGACTTGTTCATTTCAGTGACTCAGTTTGTTGAAAATATAATATCATTACCGGGGGCCTTTATCTGTTTTTATATTCAGAAAAAAAAAATCAGCTAGCGATAGCATTATTGACAAAAGTGTTTATGGGTTTTAATTTAACTGTTGATTTTGCTCCGGGCCTAACTTCACACTATTCATTTTATTCAATTTCTGTATTGTCAGAAAAGCACTTTCAGTATAATATTGTAAGGAGTACGTTTATTTTGAATATCTATCTATCTATCTATCTATCTATTGAGAAATTAATGATAAAACTGGAGAAATGTTTTGGATTTTAAACTGTTGGAAATATTTCTGTATAGAACGTGTAATGACTAGATTTCCTAATGAAGTGTGTTCCGGATATCTCCGAAACCTTTTAGATTAAAAATGAAAAAAAAACAAAAAACAAAAAAAAAACAAACAAACAAAAAAAAACTTATTTCTAGAATTTACAATGTTCACTCAGCATGCGCAGAATATACTTACTGAAAAACGAGCTAGTGTCATGACAAATATATTGAATTTCTGTTCATATATTTTCAATTGATATATTGATTTCTTTTTTACGGCTTATCAACCTTTTGCAGATTGTTTTTTTTTTTATCCATTACACCAAGTACAGATCCAAGATTACAGCATCTGGTATTCCCAAGCGGTCATCCATGTAGATACTGAACAGTGTCGACGTTGCTTAACTTTGGTGATCGTACGAAAACCGGCGTTTCCACATGATATGGCCGTAAACCCATATATTTTCAAATTAAGGATTTTAAATTTCCATTTATTTATTTTTTTAGTCTCAAATAATTTCCTGTCAATATACAGGTATTTATTTATCCTTACTTTTAGGGATATAATACAAGGAAGTTCTTACTAATAGAGTGGGGTTAATTCTTAACTTATCGTACTTATATGAAAAAAATGATTGATTTATGCTTGACTGTTTATCAGCCCTTTGAGGATTATTTAAATTCGAAACATATTTTGAATTGTAAGAATAATCCTGTTTCTTCGATTAACATTTTTTTTAAAAATGAGAATGATTTTTCTAGATACATGTTCTAATATTTAACCTATAGCCGGGGAGATGGATTTATTCTTTTTGACGGGCATTTTGCGCCTAAAAGGATACAACGAAGCGAACTGGAATTCGAACTCGGCTCTCCGAGTTCTCATTTCGAGCCACGTTCCATTACACCATTCGCGCATCCTCAATATGCAATGAACGTGGTCCTTAATAAAAAATGGGAGTTGGGAAATAATTTCAAGGTTTAAAAGTGCAAAATTAATAAACGGAATGGTCGTAATGCGCTCGAGTCGGGGCGGGAGATTTCCTCAAAATAATAAACGTCCCTCCTTGTTTATCAGGTGAGTAAGAGTATATATAATACATATGTATCTAAGCAAATTCTATCATAAATGTCACGAATGTTTTGTCATTAGTCCTGCAATAATGATCATTTTAAATACGTCATTGGAAATACGATATTTAATATATTCCATCTAGAAGAAAACAAGAAATGAATAAAAGCAACAAACGAAATGAGTATGTCTTTCAGGCTCCTTCGTTGTATTTAGGACGTCCTTATTTCGCCCCCTCCGTTACGACTAAAATAGGAGGGCAGTCTAGCCTCTTTGATAGAACAACCTGTCTAGGAGGAATACTTTTAACTCAAAACTTGGAGAAGTAAACAGAAATCCCTTCTGCTATATTTCCTAATGACAAGCATAACAATGTACGTTTAACATATATTTCAATAAAGGAAGTTGTGGATAACCGTGGTTGTCTAGGTCTCGAAAGGATACTACATTTAAATAATTTAATGACCTACGTATTCGCTTAATATTTATTAAGGCCATTCATGTTCGGAACTTAAAAAAAGTTGACGCGTTTTGTCGAAGCTCCAAAAAATATTAACGGATTTTATGTTTAACTGAAAAATGTAAATATTGTTTTTTAAAGTAATATAATAATTTAATACAATTTGCAATTTTTATTTATTTTCTTTCATTTATATATACAGTGTAACCCGGATATAAGAGAGTTGTCGGAACCGGAGAAGAAGTCTCTTATATCAGGGTTTCTCTTATATCCGGGTTTGGTCTATTTTATATACATTAACACAGGCTCTAATTTGGGACCAGAGACAATCTCGCTTATATCCGGGTTTCTCTTATATCCGGGTCTCTTATATCCGGGTTACATTGTATTATGATTATTATATTTATTTGAAGTTATATATGTATTATATATTATTACTAGCCGAATAACCCGCACCCTGCTGATTGATTTTAAATCATTGTTATAATTTATGGAGAAAAATGATGCATTTCAATATTACTCAATGATCTTGCTAATGTGATCTCCATCTTCTGGCTTTCTCCTTCTATATTTTGGATAGGAATCATTACCTTATTCAGATTTAAATTTAATTTAAAGGGGAAAAATTTTCAGTGGGGGGGGGGTGCAAAAACAGTTTGACCTGACCTCTTTGTTATGTATTTGATGCTATACTTGATTGAATGAATTGATGAGCAGATTTCAACATTGATATGACAACTGAATTGTGGCAACAAGTCTGTATTGTAAGTCACTACCCACTGACTGGTGACTTCTTGGTCAACTTGCTGTTTCATTTTAATCTTGCCAAAGTGATCTCCATCTTCTGGATTTCTCCTTCTGTATTTTGGATAGGGTCATTCCCTTGTTCAAATTAAAATTTAATTAAAATCAAAGAGAAAAAAAAATTCAGTGGGGCTTTGTGCGCCCCAGGCACCCGCTTTGATCAAAATGAAATATACTTATCCAAGTACCCTAGGAGTCATTCCCTTATCCAAATTTAAATTTAATTCATATCAAAGGGAAAAAATTAGGTGGGGGTAACCCCCCTGGACCCCCCTTTAATCAAAATGAAATATACTTATCCAAGTACCCTGGGTAATGTTGTTTCAGAATATATATGGTTATGGGGTCTATCTCCAAAACCTTAGGAGGAGATCGATAACAAAGAAACTGAAAGAGGCCATAACTTATATATATATATATATATATATATATATATATATATATATATATATATATATATATATATATATATAAATAAAAATGACAATAGGAAAACTAGTAATTGCTGACGCGTTTCGTCCAGTGTGGATTTTATCAAAGGAAAATACGGAAATGAAATTAATTGAACAAGGTAACTAAAAAAACAAAAACAAAATGTTACTAGCAACTGGAATTTAGAGAAACGCTATTTTCATATTTTTAACTGAAAATAACGTCAGTATTTGTCACGTGTGGAAAATATTGTCATTATGTCTGTGTTGATTTATTCAAACATTTTCTTTTGATTTTATGAATCTGTTGTGTATATTTGTTTGTAAGTGCAGTAATTTTGTTAAGAAAGGTGAAATGGAGGAAAAACCCTGGGTTTTGGTAATATTCTATGGCGGCACTCTCTAGAATTTGACGAAACGCGTCAGCAATTACTAGTTTTTCTATTGTCATTTTTATTCATAAATATTGTCTTCTCTACTGGTTAAATCGGAGAAATTTTCATATATATATATATATATATATATATATATATATATATATATAAATCGCATTGAAACAATAAATGCATATTTATACGTACAGCAGCTGTAACGTATACATAAAAGAACAACACAGGAAAATGATTGTGAACTCGGTTGGTCTGTTCTAGCCCAGCTGCCATAGTCACATTCAATCGATTAGTACCTTTTTTGATCGTTGGAAACCTTTTTGATGGATAAAATCTTTCATATTAAAACCTACATAATTCTATTAATAATGTAATTACATATACTTAAGTGCTAATACTCTTGGGAAAGGTATGAATCCTCTTCTTTCCCCCCAGCTATGGGTAAATAGCAGCTCAGATCGGGTTATATAGCCTTGGATAGCAACTGATCTACAGCAGAAAGAAATGGCAACCTATCCGGCAAAAAAAAAATCTGCCTCTTCAGTCATGTTTTGAAAGATACATGATCGCCTAAGCGTGTCCATGCGTAGCACATAACTGACTAAATGAAGAGTTGCCTGGTAAATAGCAAACCGTCGTTGTAAATAATGGTGATTTTATAATTAAATAAAATGTAATTGTATTTCATTTTCTTAAAGAATAAAGTTAATAAACAGGAACGGAAATTATGACTCAAAGGAATAGTTTCTATTAAGGTTTGCAAAATGATGTACTTTTGTTGATGGATTACGCAGAGTATAAAAGGTATGTAATCTTTTTTGTCATTGTAAGACACTTCTATGATTTCTTTAACATTGTGCAAATAATGACGCCGTGAACCTTTGCATCAATTTCATACTTCTGAAACATGCACTCGAGAAGCTATGTGCACCTTCCTTTCTTGTCGTCCTCATCTTTTCACGATGTTTTTTCCCATCCACACTTTCCACCACCAGTCTCCTGCAGTGATATTTCTTCTATTACATTGCCACCATTTTTTTTTATTATCTCCATACCATGGGCGGTTATCGAGGTTAATGTGTTAAACTCATTACTTTTTCTTATTTTAAGTAAAAGAGAAAGCTTGGGATCCAGCCATTGAAGAATCATTTCGAACTCTGGCAAGTATCTTCACGTTATAAAGCCAATCCATTTGGGAACCTCAGAGTTAATGATTCCCAGTTATAAAATGCTCCAATCAGTTGAAATAATGTTTAAAGAAAATGTCGTCTAGTTTATGAAACCAAAATAACAGCAAGTTTATAAAGTAAGAACTTAAGTTTGTAGCTTTTTTTTATTGAATTTCAAAGACAATATTTATATATTTCTACATAGATTTTTTCGACAATATATTTGCCATTTTGTTCAACGACTTTTCACCATCTTTGAGTTAACGTCCTATTCTCATCCTCCCAGAATATCATTTACGGTGATGGACTGGTTTCAGTGTTTTTTTTCCAGGCTTCCAGAAAACTGAAGTTCTTCCTATTAAGAGAATTGTGTAAGAATCGAAATCAGTGGTAATCTGAAGGTTCAAGGTCAGATGAGTACCATTGATATAGTAGAACAGTGGTTACCAAACCTTTTTTTTTTCTCTGGGCCGCATTTTTAGAATTAAAACTTGTTCGCGCCTCACCAAACTTTATATGATGAATAAAGCACATTTAAAAATAGAAAAAAAAAAAACAACAGAGAGAGGGTTAAAGGGGGATAACTAGGGATTCGAAGTCAGAACATTATCATTGATAACTCTCTCCTCCAATTTGAGGACCATAGTTACTATATTATTAATACTTCATACAATGCAAAAATATCACAATAATAAAATCGGTCAATAATTATAACTATACTAAAGACTCATACATGCAATTACAAGTAATCCATAATAATACTTTAAATTTTTAATTCATATTTATTTTTGGCATATGAATTTTTTGAGACTGTTTCTAAATCTTTGATTGTTTTTCAATCATTCCGCCTCACCTGCTATCCTCTTCCGCCTCACCTGCTATCTTCTTCCGCCTTACCTGCTATCTTCTTTCGCCGCACCTGCTATCCTCTTCCGCCTCACCTGCTATCTTCTTCCGCCGCAACTGCTATCCTCTTCTGCCTCGCCTGCTATCCTCTTCCGCCTCACCTGCTATCCTTTTCCGCCGCACCTATGAGGACCGCCGCACCGTTTGGGAACCACAGCTTGACTGGTATGTTTTACTGAGTAGAACATGCAAACCAAGCTTTATCAATGTCAGACCTCAAGT